TTTTTTCGTGAATGCCAAAATAGAGTGTACAATTCCTTCTTAGCATTACAAATGCTATTCAAGCAATATTAAATGAACATGTTTAATAATGTAAAGTGTTTAGAAAATATTAAATACAAGGTAACCTTGCTTATCCAGACTGCTTGTTTAGAATTCCAGGTTATCGAACCAATTATATAAAACAAGGAAGTGTTTACCCTGCTGAAATAATGACAGGGTAAAGCTGCCTTCGCAGTGCATGAGGCTGTTGGAGATTCCTGACACGAGGACACATCCTAAGGCAGCTCACAGTATTATGTGCATTTAAGTGCACGTATCTTTTCTTGGTTCCAGCTATTTCAGATATAACAGGTACTGTATACATACTCAACTATCAACTGTCTCAGCAGCTATAATACATCAATTTTAATAAGACACAAGTTATTTTCTCTACTAATTATTAGGAATAAATGTTAATAAACTCATTCTCATAAAAAGATCAAATTAAAAAGGAACAAGTTCAATTCACCTGAAATGCATCTCAAGGAATCACTTACTGAGACTTCTTATAACATTAGTAACCAAAACTTGTGCAGATATTCATCTAAACCAGTGGTTCTCAACCAGGAGTGACGTTTTTCACTAAGGGGCATTTGACAACGTCTAAAGATATTTTTCGTTGCCACAACTTGGGGTTTGTTACTGGCCAGAGATGCTGCTAAAATCCTACAATGTACATACAGGACAGGTCCCTATAATAAAAAATTATTCAACCTACAGTGTCAATTGTGGAGAAACCCTGATCTAAATTTCTCTTTTAATCTAAAAAAGATTTATAAAGTAGTATCTGCAAGGATATTTATTTATTTATTTTTTTGCGGTACGCGGGCCTCTCACTGTTGTGGCCTCTCCCATTGCGGAGCACAGGCTCCAGACGCGCAGGCCCAGAGGCCATGGCTCACGGGCCCAGCCGCTCCGCGGCATGTGGGATCCTCCCGGACCGGGGCACGAACCCGTGTCCCCTGCATCGGCAGGCGGACTCCCAACCACTGCGCCAGCAGGGAAGCCCTGCAAGGATATTTATGACCTAACAAATTGTTTGCCAAGAGTTGACTCAACCAGTGGAACCTTTTTAGACTATCTGCTCCTTGAAGGCAGGAACGTGCCTTTGTCTCTCTAGCACCTAGCAAGGTAACAGGCCTAAAGCTTAAATAATGTTTGCTGAGTGTATTTTAGTTCTCGCCAAGAAGGTTGATTGTAGGTGAGCTACACAGAATTGAAATGACTAAATATTTGAGTTTGTCTGGTTTAACCATATGGAGACATGGATACCACGTCTTCAGACGTGCCCACATGTCATTCTGTGAAACATCTTAATCATGTTTTGAAACAATAAGCATACTACTTGACTTGATATATCTTCTGCTTATGCTTATACTCTCCTTTTCCCTGGGCTCTAAACGCTCATGATTTCAATAACATGTCTGTGCTGATCACTTCCAAAATCTAGATAGAATCAGAGTGTCAGAGTTGGGAAGGGATGTTAGCTACCATAGCTTTCAGCCTTCACCAGAGGAGATTCCTTCCATGACACCTGACATCAGGTCCTAGAGCCCACTCCACCCGCATCCCTGCCACCAACTGAAGGCAATTAGAGACAAGCTCTCTACTTAGAAAGCCGTCCCATTCTTCTCAGCATTTGCATTTGAGCAGATGTGTGAAATGCCTTCTTCCTGTTGGGTGAGTCTGATTGCTGTGTCAAATGAAATTACACAGGCCTAACTGCCCTCAAGTCCCCCCAGATCTGCTTCCCCATACTCCCACAGATCTTAGCGCCACGTCTGGGACCTCACAGAACCAGCGCTGCCCTCACAGTGTGGATCTCTACATAAGTGAACTCAGACACGGCCAATGAGATCTGAGCTATGAATCCGTGTTTTTCCTTTTGTACCTTCCCTCTTCATTTTCCGCCATTTAAGCAGGTGGCAGGGTCTGTGCTTCCTTGTCTGGTGGGGGAGGGAGGTGTCTGTGGCAGGAAATTGCCAGCTCTCCATTTCTCCTTCAGGATTTTGTGTCCCCAAAGCCTAAATTGGTTGGAAACATTTTGTGCTAACTGCCTCTGGAAACAAAAGAAGGTGAGGATACTTTTAGATACAACAAAAGCAGAGAGTTCCTTTAATAGTGACAAGAGGGGGGAAAAAGGAAGATACCTCCACTCTCTCAGACAGAGAAGAGAAGGGAGCTCTCTTGCCAATGTCCCAGAGAGGAGGGGCTATGAGTCTCCCAGCCTTGCCAAAGACCCCCTGTTCCCGATAAGGTCTGATGCAGCACAGCCTCCATCCTTAAGGACCACGTGGATTTGGTCAATGAATAGGTTGTCTGCATTGGAACTCTCCCCCTCACTCCCTCAACTTCCCGCCAGCCCCACCCTTTGTCTTTGTTCAGCCCGCCCTGGATTAGGGTAAAGGCAGCTGCAAGCCTGGTTAAACATCCTGCCTGCCCAGTGGGCTAAGGGGTCAAAGTAGAAAATGAGCCATTTCTTGCACATCGAAGTTGGGGGCCAGAGATCCATCTACACTACACAGCTATGTGTACCAGTGGAGCAGTACGGTGGACAGAGCTTTGCTGGAGTCAGACAAAGCAGTTGAATCTTGGGGCCCACTTATTTTTTTTTAATTTTTATATTGCAGCACAATTGATTAACAATTAATTGTGACCTCCAACAAATTTCTTAGTGGGGACTTAGCTTTCTCCTGTAGGAAGTAAGGATAGTATTATCTACTGTGGCGGTCATAGAGGTGCATGCCGAGACTTCCCCTGGAGTGAGAACCTGCTGTGCTGAGTGCAGTCAGCAGACAGCCTTGGGCTGCTGCGCCTTCGGGATCCACCAGGGCATTCAAGCAAGGACCTGCTCTCCCCAGGCTGCTCCCAGCCACCACCTGAGCACAGCACGTGGACTAGAGCCTAAATGTTTCTGCCCAACATGAGGCTCCTCTAGTGCTCTGGGAAGTCCCCAGCTCCAAGTGGGAGATTTTCTCAAGGCTACATCACAGTCTGAGGCTCCTCCTACCCACTTTTTCCTTCCCCTTTTCCTTTCACAGAGTCAGAACTACATCAGGTCTGAAGGCTGTCCCTGCCAGTTCTGTCCCTGTTCCCTTTTTCCTCTCATAGGCATTTTCCCTAATAAATCTGTACTTTGAATTCCACTTAAGTGTCTGCTTCCCAGAAGACCCAAACTGATATAACTATCCTTAGAAAACTGTTCTAAAAATTGGAAACAATAGCATAGTTCCTGTCTTTTGGTAGCTGCTAAAAAAAGGTTAGCTTCCTTCAACTGGGAGGCATTAGAGTCAGGGACTGGGTAATACATTCTCCTATATTCGCTCAGTGCTTTAATCATACATTCCATTGTGTAAGTGGACTTCAATAGTCAGCAATGCGTCTGTCTAACTACAATTAGACTTAAAATAGGACTCCAGACTCCGGGCTATCCAAATTATCTGCAAGCAGATAACCAGGGGTGTGTGTGTGTGTGTGTGTGTGTGTGTGTGTGTGCGTGTGTGTGTGTGTGTGTGTGTGTGTGTGTGTGTGTGAATAGGTGGGTTCGATTGGGGAGAAAATTGGCTTCGGAGCCAGACAGATCTAAATCTAATCCTAATTTGCTGTGTGACCTTAAGGAAATCCCTTAACCTCTCTGTCTTCAGTCACCTCAACTATATAATGGGGATAATACTGCCCTACCTTACTAAGTAACTGTGAGGGTTAGAGATAGTAACTGTGAGGGTTAGAGATAATCTATATAAAGCACCTAGCACAGTGTCTGGCCCATTGTAAGCATCTAATAAAAGAACGCATTGCCTGTACATCCTTATTCTTACCCTGTACTCTTATTGCCTGTACATCCTTTCATTCATTTGATATTTATCGTGGGCCTAGTATGATAGGAACTTGAGACACAACAGTGAACCAGACAGGCACAGATCCTTGCAGAGCCTGACAGGTAGGCATGGCACAGCACAAAGTACATCCAGTAATTATAACAGAAACACTTAGATGGTGCTTATTATGTGCTAGGTACTGTTCTAAGAGCTCTACTACACATTCACTCATTGACACTTTACACCAAACCAACGAGGTCGGTATTTGCTCAAGATTACATAACTAGGGATGTAATCCTTAGTGTAGATTAGTATGGATTTGAACCCAGGCAGTCTGGATCCAGAGTCTGTACTTTTAACAGCTATGCTGTGTTGCTTCTCTAAACACTTGAATTGAATTTTATGATTCCACAGAGCATGAATGATCCTTACATAAGCATGTAACAAAATCTAGTGAATTAAATCAGTAGGAAAAACAGTTATTTCCTTCAGAGAAACACAGGCACAGAAATAGTAAGTCAGCCGAGCAGGTGTAGACATTGGTGACCCACACGGTAGCAGTTACCACCCCTACCCCCCCACCTCCTCGCCATTTGCTCAGCTTTGAACTCAGCAGCTGTTTTCTGGTAATGGCATTAGAAGAAAAGTTGCTCTAATATGGTTTTTCATCTTAACCCTGATCTTTTCATCTGCTATAACCACAGGGCTCTTCTAGTTCTAATAAATTCTCAATTTTCAATGTCATAATCTATTATGCCTCTAGGAACTTTCTGTCAGAAAAGTTAAAGGAGTCAAATCAGTATGTTTTATTTGTTGTTTTCTTTTCATAAAAGTGTCCACATGACTGCATTAAATAGTTTGCTGACTGTTTGCAAGGCAATCAAGGTGGCAGTAAGGACATCAGACCCTGGACACCAACTTCATTTCTTATTACGTGGCAGACACCACACAGCTCTGGATGCCTGGGTAAGCCAACATGACAGCAGCAGTCTGTTCCAAGAAATCCTTTAGATATATGACAACATACCATCATTGTGACCATTCTAGAATAAAAATGACAATGCTAATATGATAAAAACAAAACCTACCAACCTCTCCTAACTAGTCAAGAATGATTAAGACAAAAAAAATGATTGTACTTACAGGGGGACATTGTGCAAGTTTATCAGCTGCCACCAGTTGAACATTTAAGTGTTTACTTTGGGACTTTCCTCTAGATTTAATCAACCGCTGTAAAACCTGATAGAAGAAGACATGAATCTGAGATACTGTCAATGAGCTGAAAGAAAACCAAATAAATCCAGACCTTTTTTCATAGTCTATTTAGCCTGAGTATTAATAGGGAGGAAATACAATATAACAAGTCATATATATATATATAAACTCTGTAATGACATCAGCCACTTACACTAGCTTTCAGTTATAGTGGATTTGACATGTTCATCCTATTCTCGCTCCATGTGAGGTCTTGGTGGGATCTGGAGTTCCCACCCTAGATTTTACCCAGAGATTTCAAAGAGAGCCCTGCAAAAGTGCAGGCACTGATCTGTACCAGGTCATTTATGTCCAAATTTAGTTCAGTAATATTTTGGTTCACTATCTCAATGTCAGATAAATATAAGAGTTACATATATTTGACCCTTTGTGTCACTGATAATTAAGGCATTCCAGTCTAATCTTACATTAAAGGACAATTTCATGATCGACATCTAGGCAGAACATCTGTACTGGTGTATTGCTACGTATAAACCAGGGATATACCTATGTCTTTTGGGCACTGCTGTAACTGCATTTTTCCATATACTCATCTTTCCCTTAATATTTTTTTTAGCAGAAGTAAGACCCTTCCCCCCAACTACTACTAATCTATGAGGCTCAATGATATCTCAGCACATATATCCACAGGAGTCCCCGTTCCTGCACTTATGGAGCCCACGGTGACTGGGGCGAGAGGGGTTGAAATCTATTCCACTGCAGTAAGGGTGCTTGAATCCCCTTCAGTTCTGGGTCAAAGAGACTCCAAGTGCTCAAGGCATTTTCAATCGATTTTAATGATTCCCCAAAGGTCCTGGTTTGGTCAGGATTCCCAAGCTCATCCTGCACAGAACCAGTGCCTGTAGAGATGGAAGGCTGAGAAGCTCAGAAGCATTGGGAAGGGCACATTCTCTACCTGTGAGAGGAGACCCCTGTTCTGGCTGGAAGTTGAATTGGCATTTAAGCAAGAAAATGCACTCCTAGGGCCACTGAAAAGAAGCTGATTGTTAAGGTAGTACCTCCCAAGGGTATCCATTTCATATTAACTTTTTAGAACATCATCACTTTTTAAAATCTAATTATTTATTGGCCACGCCACGTGGCATGAGGGATTTTAGTTCCCCGACCAGTGATTGAACCCATGCCCCCTGCAGTGGAAGCATGGAGTCCTAACCTCTGGACCACCAGGGAATTCCCCATCATCACTTTTTTTTTTTTTCAAATTTCGATATTTATTTTTAAAAGCAATCTCATTGTACTCTTAGTTTTTATAAATGCATAATCTATTTTTTAAAATTTATTTATTTTTAATTTTTATTGGAGTATAGTTGATTTACCATGTTCTGTTAGTTTCAGGTGTACAGCAAAGTGAATCTGTTATACATATACATATATCCACTCTTTTTTGGATTCTTTTCCCATATAGGCCATTACAGAGTATTGAGTAGAGTTCCCTATGCTATATAGTAGGTCCTTACTAGTTACCTATTTTATATATATAGTAGTGCGTATCTGTCAATCCCAATCTTCCAATTTATCTCTCCCCCCACTACCGCCCTGGCCCATCATCACTTTTTAAAATTAAAGAACACCCAAGTCAAAAGGGACCACTTTGAGGCTGTGTCACTTTTTTTTTTATCTCCCCCATTGGCATAAAGATACATGGCAGACATGACATTGTGCTCAACCACAGAACAACTATACTCCTTGAAGAACCCAACCTAAGCACAAATTAAGGGTCTATAAAGTTTCCATGAGAGATTTTATACAGTGATGTTTGACTTATATGATAAATATATATGTACTTTTTTTTAAACATCTTTATTGGAGTATAATTGCTTTACATATATATGTACTTCTTGAACTATGTACTTTCTCAACTGGGGCGAGAACATAGGTGATACAAGAATCAATATTACCTAAGAGATTTACCAAGAGAGAACCTAAAGTCTCTGAAAAGCCAGACTTTACTTTTCCTCACCTTAGTTCTTTTTGTTTTTATTATACTCTTGCATAACTGCCCAGTTTGGGAACCACAATAGACACTGAGCTTCTTGAAGGAATAAACAATTCTTTATGTGCTATCTCAAAATTTCTAGAACGTGTACAGAACAGGTGAATTAAAAACTGCTCATTAAAAGGGTCTCAACAAGACATTCTCCTTGCCCACTAACAAAAATGCACAGAGCAAAAAATATTTCAGAAGAAACAAGCTTCTAACCCTTAAGACAGAAATGAGCTGATTACCTTTGGAGATGAGACTTTTACATGAACAATAATTGGTGCTAAGGAAGTCTTTATAAGTTGTGCTGGGTGATTGATGGTGTCTGCATCAAGAACAACCAGTTGCAAAGATCTTGCCAACTCAAAGATTCTTTCAATTTCACTTTGTACTTCCGCTAAAAGGAGAAATATCAAATAACAGGTCATGGTATTTTTATTAATTAGTTCCTATATTTAAAAAATAGTACCTCTTTCAGATGCTAGCCTACATTGCAAAACAGAACATTTTGAATCTTCATAGTCCTATCTAACTTAAGATCTTTTCTAAAGAGAGATGGGTTGAGTTTTACATAAAACCAAAGAGTTGGTGGAAAAAATTGAGAAGGCTTTCTTGATTTGCTTCTTATGCTCACCCTAATATTTAGCTATTTACATAGCTATGTTGGTTTTGATTGTGCTTTTGTTCTAAAGAACTTTTATTTTAGCTATAGAAGCTGCAACTACATTTTAGGAAGCAATCGAAATACATGTGCAGAGCAACATCACATGGAAAGCAAATTATGCTGAAATACGCCTACCAATCAACAACTTCCATATTAATATTTTATGGATATGTTTTTTAACATCTCACAACTCATCTATTTTGACTGATATGCACATTTTTGTATCCCTGTTAAATGTTCTGGATCTACTCTTAACAACTAGCATATTGCTAAGTCTTCATTCAAGTGTTAGGGCCAGTGGACTTGTTCTAAGGCATAATTATCTTCAGTATTAAAATAAAAAAAACAAAAAACAACCTAAGATCAATTATATTAAAGTGCCACAATGCATTTAGATGCAAATCTACTTGGCTTGCTGTAATAGCCAACTGACCTGAATCTGTGCACGAATCTGGTCAAATGAAAAATCTAGTTATTTTCAATGTCAAAAGCAATCCAGCTATTTTTTAAGCAAAAATTAAGCAGATTATCTATAAAAATATAATATGGCTTTCTGAAATATAAAAAGCTTTTTAATATATATTTTTATAAATCACCTGATTTATTGATCATGTCCACAGTCTGAATTAGTCTATTTAATTTTAAGAGAGACGATCTTGTTTGCTTTTTGCTTATTTTCATTTTTGGCTATAGCATGACTTACCAATGTTGTAATCTTATCCAAATTACATAGAGTAGACAAAGCTACCTAATTTAAATTATTTCCAAGATGGCCTAGGAAAAAGTTGATGTTGCTCTAAATATCCTCATTGAAAAGAGTTTGTACCAGAATCCCGTGATTTGTTTTGCTTATTCAGTATAAATTCATGTTACCCACCAAAAATTCTCCCTTCCATAACCAGACAGATTGACAGGGTGTGTGGGATCATGAATGCTCAAAACTATCATGTAACTCTATTTTCTAGGGCTTTGCTAATAGCATAAAATTCTTATTTCCCACAAAACCACTGGTGTTTAATGCATGATCTGTATAAGAAGTATGAATTTAAAGAGTCATTAGAACCCAGTAGAGGCTGTTCAGTTCAACTTCTGACTCTCAACATGTTCTCTGATTTCCCTCCTATAATGGGTTGAATTGTATCGTCCCTAAATTCATATATTGAAGTCTTAACCCCTCAGTACCTCAGAATGTAACCTTATTTTTGAGACATTGTCTTTACAGAGATCATCAAGTTAAAATGAGGTCATTAGGGTGGGAATTACTCCTATATGACTGGTGTCTTTATAAAAAGGGGAAATTTGTAGACAGGCACACACACAGGAGAACACCACGTGAAGATGGAGGCAGAGACTGGGGTGATGCTTCTACAAGACAGGAATGCCAAAGATTGCCAGCAAACCAACTGAAACTAGCAGAGAGGCATGGAACACCTTCTTCCTCACAGCCCTCAGAAGAAAACAACCCTGTGGATACCTCGATCTTAGACTTCTAGCCTCCAGACTCTGAGAAAACAAATTTCTATGTTCAAGTAAAAAAAAAAGCAACATATCTATCATTTTTCATATTATCCAATACCAATATCCTGAAAGATTTCATGTTGCTCTGAAAGGTAACTAGTTTTCAATATATTAATGTAAAGAATCTGGACAATTTGGCTTATTTGCAAAATTCTGAAATACTTTCTACATTTATTAGTAAAAACAACCTACTTGTCCCTTTTTATTCATGTCAGAAACAGAAAGATTTTTTTAATGAGAGAAGTTTGGAAAGTTTATTTTTATTGTAGTAAGTTTCATTTTTTTTTTCTTTTTTCATTAAACTGCCACTGGTTTAAGGTAACTCCTGGCCAGGACTGTACTAGAACAAGGCTATCTTGCTTTAAACTTAAAATCTGAATACAATATTTTCTGAAGTAGCAAAAAGGCAGTGACGCAAAGTAGACTGCCCCGGTACAAAGAACCCATGAGGCACTCTGAGTCTCTGTGTAAATAATTCAGAGACACCTGGGACTTATTTACTTTGCACCAGCCATGAGGCAAGTGTGGTGTTTTTGGGGAGTTTTTTGGCCATGCCACACAGCCTGAGGGGTCTTAGTTCCTGGACCAGGGGTTGAACCTGGGCCTGGCAGTGAAAGCGCAGTGAAAGCACCAAGGGCAGGCACACCTACAGTTTAACCAAAACAAAACTTGGGCAATGGGTATCAACAGAGAGGTACTCGGGCAGAGCAGGCCAGGAGGCTGCAGAGGTCCACCCTATATACTGGAGTGGGTCCAATATTGGGATAATATGTATATGGAATACAATGAATAAATTATACGTGTGAGAAAGACATATTTACCTACACAGCTCAGTTCTTTTAAAGAAAAACTTTAACCAAACACAACAATCTTGACTACCCAGGCTGATTCCAATCAAAGCTTTATCATGATCTTATTCCAGACAAATGAACTCTGAGAAGTCATGGACCATGAACCTGGAGGGATCTCAGTGAACACTTCTATAACTTGACCACAACTGGTCTGGACCCACCTCTCCCCAGCATCTCTGTCACCTGTGCCCTTTCTCTTATATCCAAAGGCTTAAACTACTTCAATGGCTCCCTGTGGCCCAAAGCAACATTTTCCAAAGGCAGTACCCTGGATCACTAATCTCATGAGATAGCCTACGCAAAGAAGGGTTTTTTTTGCAAGGGAGGTATCACATGCTATAATAGTTTCTCTTGCAATTTCAAATGTACATCACCCTCTTTATCTTAATGCCTCTAAGAAGTGTTGCAGTGAAGAAATCTGACAGCTATTTAATCCATAAGTTTCAAATTTATTTGACTGCGGAAAACATACTATTAGTATCCTTTAAAATCAACATTTTTTGGAATCTATTTTGGGGTCTCTTTAGCAAGGCGTACTAAAGCCTTAACATACTGGCCTCGATCTATTTTTTCAGTCTCTTCTGTTGCTCTCAAATCATGCCCCCACTTCCTTTTTCTAAATATGCTCTGCACAAAACAACTTGTTTCTCAACCACACAGTGTTTATATGTCAATGCCTTTGTACATTCTTGACTGCCCTAAGAACCAGCTCAAAAAGAACTTCTGTGAAGTCTTCTCAGACGCCTCTTACTCCCTACCCTTCTTCCTTTATACTTTTAGTACTTTGCTCATAATTCCATTATCACACAGTATTTTAACCATCACTCCCTTTTTTCTGTTTGCCTGTGGCTAAGATACTTTGCCTTATTTATGTCTGTACTTCCTAAGTCTGGTACAATGCATGGCAGTAACAAGTGTTCAATAAACATTTGATGAAACAATCTACACATGTGCATTAACAAGCAGACAAATGGGCATAAGTGGCTCACATAGTGGTTATTATAATATGCTGCCATTAAATTATCTCCAATGGTTGTGGGAGTTATGACTTTACAGAGTAAAAAGGAAAACCAGTGAACTGATATCTACCTTGTTTCTTCCTCAATATTTACACCAACCCCACTGCACCCACTCCACTGACTCTGACAACAGGTGACTACAAAGGTGATATGGAATGACCTCACAGAATGCCCATCACACTCTAGGCTGGTGCAAGATGGCTGAAAAAGTCAGGCAACCTAGCTTATGTTTTTAAGTGTACTTTAGCCTCTCATTATACATCAGAGGAAGGAATGGTTAAGAGTCAAAGGCACTGTGAGGAGTGGAAAGGAGGGTGGAAGACAGGAGAACAGAGAACACATGCTTATTTGAGAAACCTTCAATCTAATTTGGTATCCTTGTCACCCATGATATACTACTTTAGTCAGTTACCTAATCTGATTTATCATCATCAACTCTGCCATCAACACCCCTGAAGGTCAAAATACTGTGCCTTTAAGAGTGTTTCACTCTGTCTGTGGAAGGCTCTAAATACAGAACTAAAGAAGGAACCACCGATGTCTGGGATCCTGCTCTCACAAACGCTGACAACTGTCCCATTTGGTAGGTTCAGCATTCTTTCAAAAAGCAGCCATCCAACAAACATTTATTGAGCAATTACCATGTGCCAATCCCAGGCCAGGAATAGAGATGACACTCGTCTCTTTCCACCTGCACAATTCTTGGCATAGCCTTCAATGGACACTTGATGGGATATTTGGGCATGCAATCTATCTTAGAAACCCTAATTTTAGAAAAAGTTTTCTATCACCTACAGAGCTCATTTAAGTAGTTTTTTTAAAAAATGTAGTGGCATAGAAAAACCCTGTCTTTCCTACTCTGTCCATGAGGAATAGGGCAGTAAACAAGTTGCCCTCAGAATGTGAATGCAAAAGAGAGTTATAAGTGGACTACACCACTCTGGGCCACCATAGAAACCACAAACAGGCTTTTGAGATGAGTGATATGATTCTCCTGCGGCCTGGACCCACTTCTGTGGTTGGTGAATCCATCCTCCACAGCCTCGCTCCTGCATGGCTTGACGGAACTAATCACATATAGTGCTTTTTCTTCTCCATTGTGGTGAATTTCAGGATGCTTTCTGATTGGTTCACCAGGAAAGACATGTTTAAACTCCCTGAACGGTATTAATGGTGGTTGCCATTTCCACTTAAGGATGTGACTACTCTGGGCACCAGCTGGCAGCAGAAACCACACTGAGAACATCATTATCTAGCTTCCTTCTAAGGATCTGGGAAAGGTGGACATCTCATTTCCTTTCATGTCGGCTGTGACTTGGGTATGACAGATATCATTAGCCTCATTGAGAAGCTCAGGCAAAGCAGGGATGAGTGGTTTCGCGTGTTGAGGCAGTAACAGAGGAGGACAACCTGTTGAGGATTCTTCCTACCAGACTACTAATTAGCTAAGTGACTGGAGCTGAGAAAGAGGAGTCTCAGGCTACTGCAGGACTCTGCTCCCTGCTTTTCCATGGCTAGCCTTCTTGTCAGTTAATCAGCGCTTCCCCCTTCAGAATGGGGAAAATGGGCAAATTGGAAAGACATTCACAAATGCAACATGTGTCACCCCGGTCTGAGAGCGCAGTACCACATTTGAACATCTTACCTAAGCTGGACCGAGTGTTTGAGCGTTCAATTATTGCTCTCTTGCTGGGATTATTTAGGACAGACCTCTTAGCAAGAGAAATGTCAGCTGTCACTCTTGTTATTGATATCCTATGAATAGGAACACAGAACAGAACAAGCCAGTAAAAATGTCGTGGGGCTCTCCAAGAGATTTATAACCACAGTACTTAATAACCGCCTCACATACTATACTGCAACCACAGTATAATAAACATTGGCCACAAGTATTTTTAAATAGGATTTCGCTAGCATTAAAATACAGGCAGAGCAGAATGGAGGAAGGTTTTGGCTATTTAACAAAAAAAGACTCCAGGAAAAATGCAGCTCTTCCTCCACTATTGTCTGCCTTGCCGAATTCTCCTTATAATACACACCATACCAGGAGGGAATCAAAACATACGAATAAACCATGCTCTTTCTAGGAAGCAGCAATACAATTTCCCCACAATTCACAGTTGATTTGCTCTTGAACAAGACTTTCAGGAACGGCAAATGCTCTGCCCAGGTGCATCAATGCTGCTGGTCAAAGGGGGAAATCCTCTTCATTCCAATCATCAAAGACAATCAGCTGTGTTGCATTCCTGATGCTCAACAGTTAACTCATGGTACATGAAGCATTTCGCCACAGGCCCAAAGGAATGTTTCATTTCTAAGAATATGAAAAATATGATTTCTCTTCGGCAGGCACAAGGATTCTTCAGCATATTTGCATATTGCTTTGAATGCATATTGTGGGCAGTAATAAGACACTATTGCTGAAGGCAATATAAGGATTGTTCCAGGATTTCCATAAGTTAGGAAGTATCTTGCAGTCATGCAAGACAAGAATAAAACCGAGACACTGCAAATGAATGGAGACAGGGGTCTATCTGTATATGATGAGAAGCTCTGGAATTTATAATTTTAAAATTCTTTATTTTAAGCTGGGATTGCACAACTTCAGATTATGATCTCCCTGCAGAATGCAAAGAATGCCTCTCTAAGCCAGCTACTGCCATCATGGGCCCTTCTTCATTCTTATCTCCAAAACTTGGCAGAGTTCCAGGAAGGAGACAAGAAGAGTCCCGCCCCTTCCCTTTTGTACTCACTGCACTTATTCTTCCCCACTTTCAAACGCCTCTAGCTGGTGGAGCAGGGAAGAGGGTAGAGTTAGCAACAATTATTGAGCCATATGTCATCTCCCATCTATTTGGGGACAACACTGTCAGCACTCTCAGGAGACTCTTCACCTGACTTCAGGGACCTGAATCCTTGGGGAGAGTTTAAAATAGTCCTTTTCATAAATGGTTGGAAATGATTTCTTTAAAGCAACAGGCTGTGCAAAAGTTCTGGTGCTCTTTTAAAGCAAAGTACTCCTTGTTTGCATTGTTGTATATATAAGCTATAGATGGTCAGGAAGTTTAAAATTTTTTAACTTCTTAGAATTTTTTAGGCTCTAATAAATTATTCGAGGCATCTTCAAATTGTCTTCTGAAGAAATCAAGAATTTTGTGAAATACATCTTGGGCTACTGAGAATGTTAAATGGGGGTTGAGTAGGCCAGGAGGGCCCCAGCTTTCTGACCCTCAAGGCCAGGCAAACACCCCTGCATTTACGTTTTCTACACAGAGGGCTAATCTATGATTTCGTTGTAAGAACTTGTTCAACTGCTAAAAGATATTGGAAAACACTGGTCTGTACAACTTCTTCATTTTTTAAAATTAATTAATTTATGTTTGGCTGCGTTGGGTCTTTGTTGCTGCACGTGGGCCTTCTCTAGTTGTGGCAAGCAGGGGCTACTCTTTGTTGTGGTGCACAGGCTTCTCATTGCGGTGGCTTCTCTTGTTGTGGAGCACGGGCTCTAGGTGTGCGGGCTTCAGTAGTTGTGTCTCGCGGGCTCTAAAGCACAGGCTCAGTAGTTGTGGCGCACAGGCTTAGTTGCTCCATGACATGTGGGATCTTCCATGACCAGGGTTCGAACCCGTGTCCCCTGAATTGGCAGGCGGATTCTTAACCACTGCACCAGCAGGGAAGTCCCACTTCTTCATTTTATCAAGAAGAAAAGTGAGACACAGAGAGGAAGTTACACATGGTTATTTAGAGTCTAAGAAGGTCTAAAGTACAGGTCCCCAAGCACCAGGCCAGTACTTAGTCACCTGACTCATAATTCTCTTACAGTTTCAGTTTTCTTCTCCAGCAATGCTGAATCTCCTGATACCAGCCACATCATCAAGTGCAGATCTTGGCCACATGCTGAGAGATGGTCAAGATCTAAATCAGGTTAAAGTCAGTGAAGCCCACATCTGAGTCTCCATTACTCAGTTGGCTGCTGCCCTTGAGGCATGAAATCTCATAGGGAGTCTTTGCGGTCATAGCTCCTTGTACCTACAGAAGAGGATTTGCTTATTTTTGAGTTTCTGGTTTTTTTGTTTATAGTTTTAAGAATGGGGTTGCTGGTTAGAAACATACAGTTAATTTCCAGAGCAATTCAAATATATGACTGGAGAGAAGTGGGTTGGTTTAGGGACAGAATTCAACCTTCTAGAATAATGATTTTTAGAGGGCCCAAAGAGTCTACTCTGCTTCAGTGAAAATCAAATTTGCTAGCTCTGTACTAGCCAAATAGTGACCTTTGGTTCTTAAAACTTGAAAGGATCATCAACAGATGTGCACTCTTATTTTTTTCTGGGTTTTAACACACTTTTACCAAGCCATTTTCAGACACATCCAAAGTTTTACCAAAACAACAAAACAATAACACACATACACAAAAATAGAAAAAAAAAAAAAACTGCTTCATGTATTCCCAAACCAGGAAAAGGTGTGGACAATAAAAGTTTCTTTTTCTTCTTTTCTTGGTCAATAAAATAGCAGCTAATTTGTTAATATAGGTTATTTCTTAATAAAAATACACATTATGAAACAGCTCAGGAGAAGACAGACACAGCTCCAGAAACTCTCTAATAAGACAAAGCAGGAGTTTTTATTTTCCATGCAAAGATGCTTACTATTATCAAACTCAGACACCAAATCCAAACTTTTTTTGTTTTTTAAAAGGCTCCCCAGCAATGTAATTACATTCATCATTAAATGCTAGTCTATTTACTTTTTTTTTTTACTTAAAGTTATACCCTTTCTATTTCTTTTCTTGCTATACTCATATCCTCTAGTTTCTTTCAGTACTTCTATGTATCTTATTTGATATACATCTCTAAAAAGTTCCCTTGGAAACTTTTTTGTGATGTAGTGTCAGTAATTACTAGCCCGGAGATAAAAGACTAACAGAAGTGCAGTTCCCCAGCAGACTATATATATCTCTAAATCTAGTAAATCTGAACCCTAATTGTTGCTTATTTCTGGTTTGGAATTCATTATTTCTGCAGTCCATCATGTGCTATGAGTATTAGTTTTCTGAGATTTTTCTATGGAAAGACATTACTCTTAGGTGAGACGCACATTCAACAATAATTAGTATTTCCATGTTGATAATGGAACAGCTAAAGATCCTTTTAAACTCTATCCTTGCCACATCTAATATGCAACCCTGTTAGTATATTAGTTTTTATTAAAACGCTTAGACTTCCTTCAGAAAGGGAAAACATTCCAAAGATCAGACAGCAAACTGTCAGGAGAACAGGAATGGAAGGCATATGTAGACCTTGGTACTCTTCCTGGGTCTTCCTCTTGGCTGGTTGTGTGACCATGGTCAAGTCATGCCATCTTTTGAGCATCAATATCATAATCAATAAAGTGGTGATAGTGGCTTTGTTGAATTATCTCACAGGATTGTCATTAGGAGCAAACCAGGTAATATATAAAAGTGCTTTCTTAAATAATTATTCATAGTGTCCTATGTTGATAGGCACATATATAATGTATACAAGGTAGCTGTTGGAGATTTGAGACTTGAAGGAGACAGTTTCTTTATATTCTATCCTCAAAAGTTAGCAGTCGGGCTTCCCTGGTGGCGCAGTGGTTGAGAGTCCGCCTGCTGATGCAGGGGACACGGGTTCGTGCCCCGGTCCGGGAAGATCCCACATGCCGCGGAGCGGCTGGGCCCGTGAGCCATGGCCGCTGAGCCTGCGCGTCCGGAGCCTGTGCTCCGCAACCTGTGCTCCGCAACGGGAGAGGCCACAACAGTGAGAGGCCCGCGTACCGCCGAAAAAAAAAAAAAAAAAAAAAAAGTTAGCAGTCTACCATGAACTCTCCCATTCTCGGAGTCTGTGAAATTTATATATACTTTGAGGATGGGAGAATAAGGTCAGACATGTTGCAATCAAAATCTGCTAATTTGAAAAATCATATTTGGCATTAAAGTTTTCAATTAATTATCTCTAGTGCTTGAGTGTCCACTGATGAGTCTGCATTTGAATAGAGAGTAGGAGGAGGAGATAATAAGAGGATGATATTGGTTATGAAACAGAAGGCACTCTATTGTTCTTTCCCATTTGTTGACTGCAAATCTTCCATGTCTTGGCTGCTTTGTGATAGCATCAGCTGTTGCCATTTCCTTTTATAAATAAATACTACTTCTTTGAGTCTCCCTAAATTATATTCTTAGCCTCCTTTCTTCAAATTATTTCTCAAACCTTTTTTTTTTTTTAAGCATTCCTTGGCTAATAGCTTCAGATCCTATTTGTATGTTCATTTATGATTTGGGGCCATAATCATGTCAGTTACAAAGTGTCCTATAACTGCCATAGAGCTGATCTGATCCAGTTGTCAAAAAGCCTAAAGTTACAACTTCGTTGGGATTTGAAATGATTAGCATAGGTCAACAAATTGCAATTGGTTTGACTGCTTGCTGTTCAGCCTATGAATGGTAGATTCAACAAGCTGAACAAACCTCATCTGAAAGGATGATCCCCGTTGAATGTTTGTGGAGAAAACATTGTTTGAGAGAAAAGCTCCATGCCACTGTGCATCCACTGTGTCCCTGCCAGGCTGGTGCCACTGTAGCAGCTCGTTAGGCTCACTTAGTTTATGATCTGTGCATAGGAACTGTCACTATGTGTGGAGATCCACATGTACAGGGGTTCCCTCAGGAAGTATTTAGTATTGTGCTTTCCATTTTTCTTACATAGATTGTAGTTAGGCCCTACAATAACAATAAAATTGTAAAATAAGTAAGTAGCTTTAAACTGATTCAAATAATTTCTAAGGTATCATAAAAAAAATAAGTATATGATTCTGTAATAGTCAATGTTGGATTTTAATCCAATTTGTTGAATTATTTTTTCGCCAAGATCTGAAAAACGGTATTGAAGAAGCAAGCCTTTTAGCCGTGTTTTTTTTTTTTGTTTTTTTTTTTTTGCTTTTTAGGCTCTTTCTGAAAAAGAAAAGACTTTATCCTATTTTGTCTGACCTACTGCATTCATAGCCAACAAAACACTGTGTAGGTTTCCACTAGAACATATTGTTTATGTTGTATTGCTGTGCAAAAGCCCACTGTGTAATTGTTCTCTTGGCTGGTTTCAATTAAAGACTATTTGTTGTTTTCTCTCCTTTTATTAATTGGTAAAACATAACACAGCAGATTGTCATGGCTCAGAATGTAAGGATATTCCCCACACAGCAGACATGTCAGAGTCATTGTGTATCCACATTGCACATTTCTTCTTCCTTACCAAAGTCTCTCTCTATATACTCAACCAACGAATTCATTATCATTTTTCTGCTACACTGGCCTCTTCTAATTTGAAAGCAAATCCACTCTCCTACTCCCACTTTTAATATCTAGCTTTCTCCAACTCTGCCATACATCAGATCTCTCTAGGGCTGAGTCTCTTTCTCCAGCTATTACTTTTGCTGCTGCTGTATTCTTCCTCATATCTCCAGACCCTCTGCTGTGCCATCAGACCCCATGGAACACTTGGCATTGAAATTTTAATTCTATTTCTACTAAAACCAACTTCAGTAGTGTGTACAAGTGCTTGGTGAATCAGGTAACTCTAGCTGGTAAATCTCTGCTCTTACAATTAAATGCTTTTCCTCTTTTTGGGTCTGAAGATTGAGGAAGAACCTCAGATTCTTCATTCTTGAAGGCAGTAATTAAGTCACTCACTTTCTCTTTGCTAAATTATAATAATTCCTTTCTTCTTTTCCATAGGTCCTACCTTTCAAACCTTTAATTATACTGCTGCTTACAGGGATGTTAAGTGGGGACCAAAACAATCTAACAGAAGCTGATTGCGTATAGGATGGCATTTGTTCAGCTCAAGGGCTATTATGGGGCCACAGGATGAGGCACTTCTCAGAACTTCCTTAAATAAAGGCACTGCAGGTTGGAACCATGTGACTCTAAGCACAGCTGAAGGAAGTGTGATTGACTGAGCCAGCCATGTCAGCTGCGGCCAACCCAAGGAGAGCTGCATGAGGGTAAGGGTGATGGCGTCTGTCATAGGAGGCAAGGACCAACACCGATATTATTAACTTAACGAGTCAGAGTTCAGCTGTTTCTTTGTAATGCTTTTTTAAGAAGTAATTTCCCAGTAGTCAAAAGTTTTCCAACAGAAGAAGGTTATCCACCTACTTATGGTTTGGGGACATAAGAGATTAGCCTAAAAGGACTTTTACATTTCCTTCCAATTCCAAGAGTCTAGTACTCAGTGCTTTTCACTTGTTTTCTCTGAAATTACTTCATTCTCTGCCTATTTGTTTAAAAAAAAAACAGAAACAAAAAAACAGAGAATAGGATACATCCATGACTTTCTTATTAAGCCGTTTGTGTCCACTAGATAAATGTGGCAGAATATTATTTGTTCAGCAAAATCCATTTACTCTTCCTCTTGGGCACACAGCTAGACTGTAATTCCCAGCCTCCTTTGCAATTAGATGTGGCCACATGACTAAGTTCTAGCCAATGAAATGTGAGAATGATGTGAAGTCACTTCCAGGCCAGCTTGCTCCTCTCTCTACAGCTAATTGGAGAGACCAACCCCAGGTCAAGGGTCCCAAATGACAGGCAGGACAAACATTTTGCCCAGTCCTTCCCTCCTCCACACTACCCACCTTCCCAGCTGAGGAATACCTGCCTCAGACTATTACATGAGCAACACTAAGCTTCCACTGTGTTTGATTCATTACACATTTTGGGCTCTACTTATTAAGGCAGCCTGGCCTGTACTAAGATACTTAGCAATTCATATAATGGCACTGAAGCATTCTGCTTTCTTGAACTAAAATCTCAATTATTGAAACTAAAATCTCAGTTTATTTTCTTTGTATATAGTCCCAGAAACTAACAAATATTTCAAACACAATTATCCAGAAGGTTTTTCTTTTGACAAATGCATACAATTTGTACTTAAAGCATTATCATGTTTGCTTTTTTCTTAAAATACCATATTTAAAAAAATCTATTTGTGGATATTTTAAAAATGTCTTCAAATACTTAAATATTTGGTAAGCTGGATGCATTTAACCATACTTAGCACACACTAAGTTTTCTTCATTTCTAATAAGTCTTCAGGTATTTGCACGTGGTTATTTTTACATGGAGTGCATTCTGAATTGTGAAAGAGCTTGGTACTTAGTATTGAGTCAGTATAGACTTTTTACCCTTTCTCTGCAAAATACAGAAACTCTTTCCAGATATTTTCCACAAAACTTAAACGATAAAATTTTCTGATGGTTAAAGACTGAGCCCTGTTGATAATGGGTCATAGGGGCATAGGATACATACAAAAGAAACCCATAAAATAGCAATGAAATTTCTAGTAAAACAAACCCAAAACTGAACATCCAAAGAAGTACTATTCCCTACAAAATAGTCATTTTTGGAAACTTATGATGAAAACATTTCTTGCGCTCTTCTTTTAAGGAAATTCAGTACTTTATACCTTCATATGATACACACGCATACAGGCATGCACACGTACAATTCCCAAATGATACTACCCATCTTGACCAGTGAGGCACCATATTTGTCAGAAATAGTCTATATTTTCATTATTTTTTATAAACATAAGCTTGGTATGAGTTCACTAACAAGTGAGAAAATAAAGACTAACACATACATATAAATAAAACAAATGGATAATTTTCCTTCTCAAGGTCCTTTTTCTTTAAGGGATCCAATGCTACACGTCATAACTTCATATTTTCAGAACACTTTCATTGTATTCTCCCCTGAACATTGAGTTAACTTTTAATTAGAGAACATCTGCAATCACCAGAAACATAGATCCACAAATCAATTTATTATTCATGTTTGGTTAAAGGAAAATAAAGAATACAAAAGCATCTGTATGCCTCACCTCCCATCAAACCTGTGCTTCAGGAAATCAAAGAGGGCTTTCTGCATCATGTCTGTGACCTTTGCAGAGGTGAAAAAAAAAAAGAATGAGGCAAACACACGCAGAGAGAGAGAGAAGTCAAAAGTGAGAGAGCTGAAAGGGAAGGCATTCTGATGGAGCCAAGATCTGATCACAGCCACTTGTTTGGTGGAGGTGGGACAGGGCAGGTGACCGTGGACAGAGTCTGTCATACTTAACCAGTTGCACTTACTCAACTTCCCCCCTTGGTTCTCCTCCAGGGTGTTGAGGCATGAACCAGCAGTGTTCACTAGATCCAAGGCAAACCCTCATCTCCTTTTAGGGGGTGGAACTGCCACCGAGAGTCCATGATAGGCTAGCTCTGTGCGCAGGTGCAGCCTATCCTTGGCGCACCTGAGTGGTGCCTGCCTTCAGTGAGGAGCAGCTAGAGCTCCTCAGGCCAGCCTGGGGCTCTGCCTCCTGCTAGTCTGTGCAAGTCGGTGGAAATTCTCCACGCCTAGGGCTGGATTTCTGTACCCCGCTCTCCTGCTCTTTCTCTGATGTTCCCCATTGAGAAGGGGAGAGAGGAGGAGAGGAAGGGGAAAAGGGAGGGTGGGGGAGAAGGAGATGGGATGCTTAAATCTGCCTCAAAGAGACTCATTAATTCACTCAACAAATGTGTACTGAATGCCTACTATGTGCCAGCCACTATGCTAACTCAGTGGGAAGGGTGCCTTGGAGGTTGCCCACCTTCAGATTTTAATGTCCTACCCACTTATTCTTATCCACGCTGGCATAAAGCCAAAATGGCAACATCTGAAATGTAGTGCTCTAAGTCTTTACTCTTTTCCTTTTTGCATGGTTTTGTTTAATTAATCTCTGAAGGAGTTCACTAATACTTTTAGTGGAGTGTTTTTTTTTTTTCTTTAATATGGTCTTTAAAGTAAAGAAGCAGAGAAATGTTTGGTGGAATATGCCATTGTCTTGAGCACGCAGCAAGGTGAGATCTGTTGGTGCTCTGAGGTGAGGTTTGCTGGCATATTGCCTATATGTTCCCTTGTGCTGTTCATACTCTATTATTTCTAATAGCAACGGGAACAGTTGAGACAGAAAAAATACTTTTCTTTGAATTGAATGCAGAGCAAATTTTTGACAAGAACTTCCCATTATAAATATTTTGAGGGAGCTATTTCTGAACACTGTAATACATGAAAGGCAAGAAGTGGGCCAGGGAGGGAAGAAAGAGTGAAGGGCCACGTAAGCCCCACGCTGCACCTCCTGCCTTCACAAGCTGAGGGCTGGCTTCTGTTAGGACCCGTGTGAAAGCAGACCCTGAGAAGCAAGCTCCAAATGGCTGTCACCTAGGTTCTTGATCAAGAACTGAAGCGTAACAGACTGATATTTGTACCTCATAACCCTTCAGTGACGGCCCCACTAACACCACCGGACGCATGGATGGCACAACATCGTAGGGAGGGATGTGCTCCGTCTGAAAAAGATGATTGGACACACGTGACAAGGGGAGGGTCAGCACACCTCCTCCACAGCCACAACATTCACAATCCTCAGGTCAAATGAGAAATGATGACCACAGGTCCCACCAAGGAGACTCCTCCCTTATTTTATAGCCATTTGGGTCACTGAAATGGAGCATTGCAGGCATGTATGGATAGAAACCTTCACAGCAGATTTAAAAAGGAAACACAACTTACCACTTTTTGCTTCTGTTTTGCTAAAAGACAACAATGAGAGCCATATCAAAATATGCAATCTCTGTCATTGTTAGCACATGCTTTTAAAAGAAGGAAGAATGTACCAATTTGTCCCTGTCATTTTCGTCATTTTCCAATTCACCCACTCTGCAAAGCACCACTCTACTGTTTCATATTGGTCGGGCCAATTTTGAAGACAAATGCAAAAACAGACAACTTCCTCTCCGTTAGAATGAACTTATATCCTGATTTCACGTGGGGTGGGGAGGGTGGATTTCATAATAACATTGGCTGGCCACTCACAGACCATGGGTTGTTCCTGTGCTGGACACACCATGCAGTGTGGCTGACAGCAACTTGGACAAATCAAATTTGATAAAAAGAAACTTAGAATAACAATTTGGATAGTAATGATCATTACCCCACTCACTAGTTATTTTTGGATTTGTAATTTTGGTGAATTATCAAAAAATTTTGTGGTTCTTTTTGTGTTCTTAAGTCTTTCTGCTCACTTTCCAGAATATAGACACATTTTTCCTACTATGTTGCTCTTAATTTCAAGTAAGTTTATAATCAGTTATTCCTGTTCTTTCTTGTTTGTAATAGTGAAAAGCTGCAATGACCTAAATGTCCAACAAATGGAGATGAGGCAAAATATACTCAATATCTGATTAAAGTGGCTTTGTGGCCACCCAGTCAGGTCCAGTCCATTTGCGGACAACCCAGAGACCCAGAGTTTGGCTCAGAGCCATGGAAATCAGGATTCACATGAACAAGGACCCAGATACTCAGATCTGTTCCAGAATCAATCCAGTTTCTTGCAGTTAGGATAGACCAGGATAGACCTTGGATCTGTCATTCTGAATTGGTAATCCTGGATGACTTAATGCAGCATCAATTCTGGGCAGAATGAAATGAGCTTATAGGAGTCAGGGAACGTGGTGAAAGAAAAATTCCTACTTGAATACCTCCACAGTTTCTAAATACACAACTCCTGATTGGGCCACCACTGTCTCTTCATTACCATTAATTCCAGGGCTCAGTTATCTGCTGTCCAAACAGAAGTGAGGTCATCTGGGCTCAACCTCATTCTCTGCTTCAACCCTCTCCACCTCCACAGCCCAGGCTGTACCAACACACCCTAAAGTTTTACATGGAGACTTAAATAGAGCATTTTCTTCAGACTTTACAACTTTGTAAAAACTTTTTAATTGGTTAGCCCTCACCATCTTAAAGTCTGCTGGGTTTCTGGGTGGAATAATGAACTTGCTTCTGAATGATTTATAAAATAGAGGGCAAATAAGATTTTACAAAATTATATTACCATGATCTGAATTTCTAGTACCACAAGTACCCTTTAAATCAAATCAAATGACCATAGAAAGCAAATGAGCAATGAAAAGTTAAGTAGAAAAATCCTTAAGTCAAGTCTTTAAATTGCTTCCAAATTAGTAAAAATACTTGCATGTACTTTCAAATTTTAAGAAAGGAATACATTCCATTAAAAAATGGTCTAACTGAAACCCTCACCTGTTGATGTGGGGGTTGCTCGAAATGTCCCTGATACCATTTCTCCAAGACTTGAAGAAGAATTTCCACTGGATTTCCTAAGATACAGAAAAGGAACTTAAGACTCATTCCCCAAAGATGGCAGAGTAGAAGGATGTGCGTTCACTCCCTCTTGCAAGAGCACTGGAATCACAACTAACTGCTGAACAATCATCAACAGGGAGACACTGGAACTCACCAAAAAAGATACCCCACATCCAAAGAGAAAGGAGAAGCCACAATGAGACGGTAGGAGGGGCGCAATCACAATAAAATCAAATCCCATAACTGCTGGATGGGTGACTCACAAACTGGAGAACACTTATACCACAAAGTCCACCCACTGGAGTGAAGCTTCTGAGCCCCACATCAGGCTTCCCAATCTGGGGGTCCGGCAACAGGAGGACGAATTCCTAGAGAATCAGACTTTGAAGGTTAGTAGGATTTGACTGCAGGACTTCGACAGGACTGGGGGAAACAGAGACTCCACTCTTCGAGGACACACACAAAGTAGTGTGCACATTGGGACCCAGGGGAAGGAGCAGTGACCCCATAGGAGACTGAACCAGACCTACCTGCTAGTGTTGGAGGGTCTACTGCAGAGGGGGGTGGCTGTGGCTCACCGTGGGGACAAGCCCACTGGCAGCAGAAGTTCTGGGAAGTACTCCTTGGTGTGAGCCCTCCCAGAGTCTGCCATTAGCCTCACCAAAGAGCCCAGTAGGCTCCAGTGTTGGGTCGCCTCAGGCCAAACAACCAACAGGGAGGGAACCCAGCCCCACCCATCATCAGTCAAGCAGATTAAAGTTTAACTGAGATCTGCCCACCCGAGCAACAGCCAGCTCTACCCACCACCAGTCCCTCCCATCAGGAAGCTTGCACAAGCCTCTTAGATAGCCTCATCCACCAAAGGGCAGACAGTAGAAGCAAGAAGAACAATTCTGCAGCCTGTGGAACGAAAACCACATTCACAGAAAGATAGACAAGATGAAAAGGCAGAGGACTATGTACCAGATGAAGGAACAAGATAAAACCCCAGAAAAACAACTAAATGGAGTGGAGATAGGCAACCTTCCAGAAAAATAATTCAGAATGATAGTGAAGATGATCCAGGACCTCGGAAAAAGAATGGAGGTAAAGATTGAGAAGATGCAAGAAATGTTTAACAAAGACCTAGAAGAATTAAAGAACAGCCACCTAGAAGAATTAAAGAACAAACAAACAGAAATGAACAATACAATAACTGAAGTGAAAAATACACTAGAAGGAATCAATAGCAGAATAACTGAGGCAGAAGAACAGATAACTGACCTGGAAGACAGAATGCTGGAATTCACTGCCGTGGAACAGAATAAAGAAAAAAGAATGAAAAAAAATGAAGACAGCCAAAGAAACCTCTGGGACAACATTAAACGCAACAAAATTCGCATCATAGGGGTCCCAGAAGCAGAAGAGAGAGAGAAAAGACCCAAGAAAATATTTGAAGAGATTATAGTCGAAAACTTCCCTAACATGGGAAAGGAAATAGCCACCCAAGTCCAGGAAGCACACAGTTCCAGGCAGGATAAACCCAAGGAGAAGCACACCAAGACACATAGTAATCAAACTGACAAAAATTAAAGACAAAGAAAAATTATTGAAAGGAACAAGGGGAAAACGACAAATAACATACAAGGGAACTCCAACAAGGTTAACAGCTGATTGCTCAGCAGAAACTCTACAAGCCAGAAGGGAGTGGTACGATATATTTAAAGTTATGAAAGGGAAGAACCTACAACTAAGATCACTCCGCCCGGCAAGGATCTCATTCAGATTCGATGGAGAAATCAAAAACTTTACAGACAAGCAAAAGCTAAGAGAATTCAGCATCACCAAACCAGCTCTACAACAAATGCTAAAGGAACTTCTCTAAGTGGGAAACAGAAGAGAAGAAAAGGACCGACAAAACCATACCCATAATAATTAAGAAAATGGTAATAGCAACATACATATCAGTAATTGCCTTAAACGTGAACGGATTAAATGCTCCAACCAAAAGACACAGGCTCACTGAATGGATGCAAAAACAAGACCCATCTATATGCTGTCTACAAGAGACCCACTTCAGACCTAGGGACACATACAGACTGAAAGTGAGGGGATGGAAAAAGATATTCCATGCAAATGGAAATCAAAAGAAAGCTGGAGTAGCAATACTCATATCAGATAAAATAGACTTTAAAATAAAGAATGTTACAAGAGACAAGGAAGGACACTACATAATGATCAAGGGATCAATTCAAGAAGAAGATATAACAATTATAAATATATATGCACCCAAGATAGGAACACCTCAACACATAAGGCAACTGCTAACAGCTATAAAAGAGGAAATTGACAGTAACACAGTAATAGTGGGGGACTTTAACACCTCACTTACTGGACAGATCATCCAAACAGATTATTACTAAGGAAACACAAGCTTTAAATGACACAATAGACCAGATAGATTTACTTGATATTTATAGGACATTCCATCCAAAAACAGCAGATTACACTTTCTTCTCAAGTGCACACAGAACATTCTCCAGTATAGATCACCTCTTGGGTCACAAATCAAGCCTCGGTAAATTAAAAAAAATTGAAATCATATCAACCATCTTTTCCAACCACAACGCTATGAGATTAGAAATAAATTACAGGGAAAAAAACGTAAAAAACACAAAACACATGGAGGCTAAACAAAATGTTACTAAATAACCAAGAGATCACTGAAGAAATCAAAGAGGAAATCAAAAAATACCTAGAGACAAATTACAACTAAAACATGATGTTCCAAAACCTATCGGATGCAGCAAAAGCAATTCTAAGAGGGAAGTTTATAGCAATACATGCCTACCTCTAGAAACAAGAAAAGTCTCAAAAAAACCAATCTAACCTTACACCTAAAGGAACTAGAGAAAGAAGAACAAACAAAACCCAAAGTTAGTAGAAGGAAAGAAATCATAAAAATCAGAGCAGAAATAAATGAAATAGATACAAAGAAAACAATAGCAAAGATCAATAAAACTAAAAGCTGGTTCTTTGAGAAGATAAACAAAATTGATAACCCTTTAGCCTAAGTCATCAAGAAAAAGAGGGAGAGGACTCAAATCAATAAAATTAGAAATGAAAAAGGAGAAGTTACAATGGACACCACAGAAACACAAAGCATCCTAAGGGACTACTGCAAGCAACTCTATGCCAATAAAATGGACAACCTGGAAGAAATGGACAAATTCTTGGAAAGGTATAACCTTCCAAGACTGAACTGGGAAGAAATAGAAAATATGAACAGACCAATCACAAGTAATGAAATTGAAACTGTGATTAAAAATCTTCCAACAAATAAAAGTCCAGGACCAGATGGCTTCACAGGTGAATTCTATCAAACATTTAGAGAAGAGCTAACACCCACCCTTCTCAAACTCTTTCAAAAAACTGCAGGCGAATGAACACTCCCAAACTCATTCTATGAGGCCACCATCACCCTGATACCAAAACCAGACAAAGGTGTCTCAAAAAAAGTAAATTACAGACCAATATCACTGATGAACATAGATGCAAAAATCCTCAACAAAATACTAGCAAACAGAATCCATCAACACATTAAAAGGATCATACACCATGATCAAGTGGGATATATCCCAGGAATGCAAGGATTCTTCAATATATGCAAATCAATGTAATACACCATATTAACAAATTGAAGAAGAAAAACTATATGATCATCTCAATAGATGCAGAAAAAGCTTTTGACAAAATTCAACACCATTTATGATATAAACTCTCCAGAAAGTAGGCATAGAAGGAACCTACCTCAACATAATAAAGGCCATATATGACAAACCCACAGCAAACGTCATTCTCAATGGTGAAAAACTGAAAGCATTTCCTCTAAGATCAGGAACAAGACAAGGATGTCCACTCTCACCACTACTATTCAACATAGTTTTGGAAGTCCTAGCCACGGCAATCAGAGAAGAAAAAGAAATAAAAGGAATACAAATTGGAAAAGAAGAAGTAAAAGTTTCACTGTTTGCAGATGACATGTTACTATACATAGAGAATCCTAAAGATGCCACCAGAAAACTACTAGAGCTAATCAATACATCTGGTAAAGTTGCAGGATACAAAATTAATGCACAGAAATCTCTTGCATTCCTATACACAAATGAAAGATCAGAAAGAGAAATTAAGGAAACAATCCCATTCACCATTGCAACAAAAAGAATAAAATACCTAGGAATAAACCTACCTAAGGAGGTAAAAGACCTGTACTCAGAAAACGGTAAGACACTGATGAAAGAAATCAAAGATGACACAAACAGATAGAGAGATATACCATGCTCTTGAATTGGAAGAATCAATATTGTGAAAATGACTTTACTACCCAAAGCAATCTATGGATTCAATGCAATCCCTATCAAATTACTAATGGCATTTTTTACAGAACTAGAACAAACAATCTAAAAATTTGTATGGAAACACAAAAGACCCCAAATAGCCAAAGCAATCTTGAGGGAAAAAAAACAGAGCTGGAGGAATCAGACTCCCTGACTTCAGATTATACCACAAAGCTACAGTAATCAAGACAGTATGGTACTGGTACAAAAACAGAAATATAGATCAATGGAACAGGATAGAAAGCCCAGAGATAAACCCATGCACCTATGGTCAACTAATCTATGACAAAGGAGGCAAGGGTATACAATGGAGAAAGACAGCCTCTTCAATAAGTGGTGCTGGGAAAACTGGACAGCTACATGTAAAAGAATGAAATTAGAACACTCCCTAACACCATACACAAAAATAAACTCAAAATGGATTAGAGACCTAAATGTAAGACCAGACACTATAAAACTCCTAGGGGAAAACGTAGGAAGAACACTCTTTGACATAAATCACAGCAAGATCTTTTTTGACCCACCTCCTAGAGTAATGGAAATAAAAACAAAAATAAACAAATGGGACCTAATGAAACTTAAAAGCTTTTGCAAAGCAAAGGAAACTACAACCATGATGAAAAGACAACCCTCAGAATGAGAGAAAATATTTGCAAACGAATCAACGGACAAAGGATTAATCTCCAAAATATATAAACAGCTCATGCAGATCAATATTAAAAATACAAACAACCCAATCCAAAAATGGGCAGAAGACCTAAATAGACATTTCTCCCAAGAAGACACACAGATGGCCAAGAAGCACATGAAAAGATGCTCAATATCACTAATTATTAGACTAATGCAAATTAAAACTACAATGAGTTATCACCCCACACCAGTTAGAATGGGGATCATCAGAAAATCTACAAACAACAAATGCTGGAGAGGGTGTGGAGGAAAGGGAACCCTCTTGCACTGTTGCTGAGAATGTAAATTGATACAGCCACTATGGAGAACAGTATGGAGGTTACTTAAAAACTAAAAATAGAATTACCACATGACTCAGCAATCCCACTACTGGGCATATACCCAGAGAAAACCATAGTTCAAAAAGATACATGCACCCCAATGTTCATTGCAGCACTATTTACAATAGCCAGGTCATGGAAGCAAACTAAATGCCTATTGACAGACAAATGGATATAGAAGATGTGGTACATATATACAATGGAATATTACTCAGCCATAAAAAGGAACGAAATTGGCTCATTTGTAGAGACATGGATGGATCTAGAGACTGTCATACAGAGTGAAGTAAGTCAGAAAGAGAAAAACAAATATTGTATATTAATGCATATATGTGGAACCTAGAAAAATGGTACAGATGAACCGGTTTGCAGGGCAGAAATAGAGACACAGATGTAGAGAACAAATGCATGGACACCAAGGGGGGGAAGTTGGTGGGGGGTGGTGGGATGAACTGGGAGATTGGGATTGACATATATACAGTAATATGTATAAAATAGATAACTAATAAGAACCTGCTGTATAAAAAAATAAATAAAATAAAATTCAAAGAAAAAAAAGACTCATTCCCCAGATTCCTTCAAAATAGAACTTGAGAGTACAAAGCTTTCTTTGGCCTTAATCCACTAAGTAATTCAAAACACACCAAGTCCTGCTACAGAGTACTTCAAGGATCTGCCCAAATGTTTTCTTTGACCTCCTTTCTCAGAGAAAGTGGGAAACTATCTCGGACCTGGAAATATTTTGCTAAAGTATGTCTCCTAATTATTCAATGCAGAAATGAGGCAAAAGAATCACTACTAGGAATGTTCTTGTGAACTGTCTTTTTAACCAACACTGGTCACCAGTACACTAGCTGGATGTCAAACACAGCTCAAAACAAGCAGTAAGATGTGGAAGAAGCACTTCTTATGTGGGGATCAGAATTAAGAACTGGCAGTAAGGATTTGGTCATGAATAATATTATGGAATGGAATGGAAGCTCATTCGTATTGGTTCCTGCATGTGGTTTGGGAAGCTTCCCTGGAGCCCACCAGGGCCCTCAGGAGCCCACCTTCCCACTTCTCCAGTGTCCCTTCCTTCAGTGCTTAAGTATGGTCCCTAGAGTTAGGACAATCTGATTTCTCCTCCCGGCTTTGCCCATTACTAGTCGTGGGACCTTGGCACACCATATCATATCTTTGTGCCTGAGTTTCCCCATCTCTAGAAGGAGAAACTATACTTCACAGTTGGTATAAAGATAAAAGAAGATCATGTCTTTGAGCTCTTGGTTTTACTCTTGTGCCTGTGGGCAAAGTAAGCCTTTAGTTCAGAAGTGTAAAGTAATTTTATGGAATAATAATAATAATAGTAGAATAACTTTGGAAATGGTGATAATAATTCATTTATTATTTCATTCAAATATCTATTGAGTATTCACTGTCCTAGAAACTAGGAATACAACAGTGGGGGGAAAAACAAAATTCCTTCCCTTATACAGACAAATTCTAACGGGAAATATCAGTATCAAACAGATGAATAGGTAAATACATAGTATTTCTGACAGTAATAAGTGCAACAGAGAAAACTGAGTCGGGAGAGAGATAGGAAGCAAGGGAAGAGAAGTGGATTCAACTTTAAATGTGGTGGCAGGAAAGGGGTCATTGAAAAGGTGATATTTAACTAAGATCTGAAGCAGATGGAGTGATCCAGTGGAAGAGTGAAGAAAAGCGTCCAGTAAAAGGAAACAGCAATTACAAAGGTCCTGAGACAGGAAAATGTGTTCCCACATGGAGCAGCATGAGAGACAAAAAGTCTAGAGAAGAAGTAATAAGAGGGATTAATCATTAATAATGTTATAGGCATGATAATTAAAAGTGGGCTAACACTCTACTTTTGTGATCTCCTATCACTGTTTAAGAGGTTCCCATTATGACAAAGGCAAAAGGGCCCCTGAAGAACAGAGGAGTTTTTGAAACAGAAAAGGATCTAATAGAAAAAGGAGGTTGAGAGTTAAGAGAAAGAACTGATTCTATTTTAGGACTTTCAAACAATGGTAACACATACCAAATCAGTACTTCAATGTAGGCTCACAATATATGCAGGCTCAGTATGATTCTGATTTCTCCTCTCAGGCTTTGCTTGTATCCCTGGGACCTTTAAATACCTGCACTCTGAGATCTTTGTGGCTACTTCATGAGTTCACTAGAGGTTAATTCATCTGAAGCTGGACAGAGTCTTACCCCAAGTACCAAGCGATGGCAGCAGCCACAGAAAACCCTGGACAAAGTGCTACTAGTCCCGGGATGGTATTGCATGTGCCATGGCATTCTGTGCCCACTTGAAAGAGAGTCTCTGAAAGTTAACCAAGAAGAGCCATGATGCCAGGTCAGGCCAGGCCCCCACTTACTGTACTGAGAAAGGATACCCTACACGACTCTCACAGAGGAAAGCTTAGGTTCCCAGGAGGGTTTGCTGAAGCCACAGAAAACAGTCTCCACTGTGGAATTCGTGTTGATTCCTGGGGTGTCCAGGCTTCAGCACACAATGGGGAGAGTGAACTATATGAAACCCTTTTCTGTCAATTTCAGAAACACCTTGCACATAGAGAAGTAGCTTTTACTTTGAAAGCATATATGTTTAACCTAATAAGCAAACTTGAAAATATCACCTAATTTTCCTACTTCCTCCAAAAAACTTTAGAGAAAGGAAGGAGCCTTACCCTCCGTGAAAACGTCCTCTTTTTTGTTCTTGCTGAATCCGTATGTTCTCCAATCTAAGTGGACTTGGGATGAAGCCAATCTCACAGCCTTCTTTCACCAGCCTTCCTATCCACCAATCATTGTTATATTTCTGGAATGCAGGAATAAAACTGCTATCAACAGTAATTCACTGATCTTCACATTTATAAATCTCAGGGGACCAAAAGAATGAAACACTATATTATATAACATTATACTATACTCTATTACATACACAAACACTATTTATAGTATATTATACTATATTATATATATCTGGGATGGAGCAGTCCATAGAAGAAACCAAACTTTTAATCTAAAGGCCCAGAGAGTAAACACTTGAGGGTTTGCAGGCCATATGGTCTCTGCTGCAACTACTGTAATCTGCTCTTATGGTGTGGAAGCAGCCACAGTCAATACGTAAACAAGTAAGCACGGCTGTGCTTCAACAAATGTTTTCTTTCCAAGAAAGGCAGCAGGCTGGTTTCAGCCTGTGAGCCACAGTTTGCCAATCCCTGGGCAAAAGTCAGGTCTTAACATCTGGATTCCTTTGGTCCTTGTCAAGAAGCTCTAGCCAATTCCTAAGGAATAGATTTTACATGGATAAATAGGCACCCATGTAACTGGAACTCTGGAAGACAGGATCGACAAGTCTAAGACAAAATACACTGAAGAGTCTGGTTTTTTGTCAAAAGCTCTGAGGTAAAAATTCCACCCTACTATCTGTATTCTACTCTCTCTGGGGAAAAATTATAATCTTCCAAATACAGGTTTGCAAATCAAGGTCCATCTTACTACCTGAAGAAAAACAAGCCTACTCTTACAAAGGCTAAGCGTGTTATACATACGTGGAATTTTTGAAATAATCTCCAAATGGCCTGAAGCCCAACAGGAATGAAGGAATTTCCATTTAAGTAAAGTTCCATGACACACTAACTTGGGAAACAAACCCACACAAAGGCTTCAGCCAATATGGGGTGAACATGGTCCTATGTGATGGGCCAGCAAAACTGCATTTGTAATGATAGATTTGCTGAATCCTAGGGCAGGAGGCATAGTTAATCCAAGCTACCTGCCTCAAGGGAAGGTTTCTGCTAGGTGATTTCTAGAAAGCAGATATTAGTCCTACTGTTTACATCCACCAGAGACAATTCCAAAAACTTCCTTTTGTGTCTTTAACAGTGTTGGGCAAGGTAACTCTCTCTCTTTGATCCAGAAACCATTTAGTTTTTTCGAAATGTAACTCTCTATGGTATATTGTGCTTAGCTCAGAGAACAGTAGAATTTATATGTATATGACATTGACACGCTGTGAAGGAGGAATGGATGATTCTGTTGAATCATCGCAGCATGAAATTCCAGGTAACTGAGTAATTCTGAGTAACAGCTTCACACTCAAAAGCAAAAAGATATGATTTAGAGATTTGGCCTTTGTTATGCACACAGCTCCTACACAAGGCCCGCATGGCATGCAGTCTGAGCCTGCACTGAAGAAAAGAGTTGACCTAATATAAAATCTTGAACAATCTAGGTCTCAGTTTCTTCCATCTTTCCATCGTTTATTTCAGGATAACAGGCCTGAAATACCAGGCCCGTTTATTTTGGAATTAACAAAAGGCAACGGGACCCTTTCAGAATGCTTGGTGCACAGACCTGGAATTTAAATTTTACTGTGGTAGGGACAAAACACACAATGAGTCATAGTTTCCTAGGGCTTAAGTTACTTCCGGAAATCAAGTTAGCCCACCGGAACACTAACTTACTAAGTCGTATCCAAATAACCTTAAGGGGTTTCCGAAGTAGTTAACACAACTTCCCAAGATGTTTTACCTTAGTTCTAAGAAACAGTGAGAATCTGACTTAACGTTAATGAAAGTTCTTTGAGCCAATTTGGGGAAAGCTGCGTTGTATGTTCAAAAGCTTATTAAATCGCCTGTCCTTTGGTATATGTGATAAGGAGAGCTGTAGCGTTTCTCTGCATTGAAGCTTTTCGTTACTGAGGCAGTACTTATAACAGAGCATATACCAAATGGCCTTCTAGGTGATGGATGAGAGGAAAGGCTACAACTCGATTACAGAAATATGTTCCTTTGTGTTGATATTCTGGGAGCACACGCCAGTTTTCTGGCAAGGTCACCTTAGTGTTCCAATTCTTCTCATTTCCCTAAAACGATGAGCACTTTCTCTTTCTGAGATGTTTCCTTATCTGCGACCTCGTGAAAACACGTGGCTCAAATCCACATAGGATTACCAACTCAATACTATACATCAAACTGCCAGACAAGAGAAAGTCACTGATGAAGGAGCACATACTTCAAAAAAGCAACCCACTGGACAAATGGAGAAGATTGATGGAATGGAGGAAAGCAATAAAACATAGCAAGGTGGGGATAAGGGTGTGAGTAGTGTGCATGGAATATGTGAAAACTTCTCTTACCATTTAAAGTGCTGCTTCTCCTTGGAAACGATGGGTATGAGCAGCTAATGAATACGGTTTGGTCATTTTTGATGGGAATGGTGAGACAAAGTCAATGTAACCATTCAGATGTCAGGGTACGTGTTTCAGGTAAAGAGTCCTTGTCTTCGAGGCAAATATGGATATCCCCACCACATACATGATTGAGAAAGCAGAAGCCATCAACTCAGTGCTTCCTCAGCTTCTTATAACCAAGGCTCTGAGCTGTGTGTGCCTGCACTCATCTTTTTCCTGCATGTTATAATGAATCAGTGTTCCCCTTCGTATCAGAGGTCTGTCTCTCCTCTCGGGGTCTGGATCCCACGCTTCCAGACTACCAAAAACTTGACTCCTTTGCCTATCTCTCCTTTCCCATCAATCTCTCCCTCTCTCTCTGGTGGTGAATAGCAGCATGTACTGGTCCTCTGATAGCTCCCATCTTGAAAGGAAAGCTCTTTGGACTTCATACACTCTTCAGTCTACTGCCCGGTCAGTGTCAACTCCCTTGAAAGCACTGTCTGTGCTTGCTAAATATACTTCCTAACTCCCCTTCTCTCCTCATTACACTCCATCCAGCTTCTGTCTCTCTGTCTCCACAACTCCAGACAATGGTCCCAGTGACTTCGTTGCTACTGACCACTTTGCCAACCCGACATCCATTCCTTTCTCCTCGTCTTAGGTGACATGTCGCAACACTGGCCACAGCTGGTTGCTGCCTCCTTTTGGATACGCTCTTCTCTCTTGATGTCCATGCCTTGCTCTGTCCTGATTTTCCTCCCAAATCTCATGTTTCTCCTTTTCCTTAATTGTTGAATCTTTTCATGCACCCCACTTTTGCAGGATGGAATTCCTTTGAGTTTGATCCAGGGCTGTTTTCTCTCCTCCCTCTCCTCTCTCTTTAGGTGACTTCTGTCATTACCTCAGCTTTAAATGCCACCGGGATAAACTAATGATCCAAACTTATTTCTTTGGCCCAACCCCGTCCTCTGAGCTCCAAATTCTTACATCTAACTTCCTCCTTCATATCTCCTTTGAGATGTCTACTCCCTAACCTCCCTTCCCATCTGTCCTCACTCCACCCTGGTCAACTCCATCCTAGTTGCTCAATTCATAAAGCTTGATTTCCTTGATCATCTTGGATTTCTCCCTCAATCTTAGTTCCTACATGTGCATCAGCAGCACAGATCACTGAACTTCCACAATATATGTCAAAGGTGTCTACTTCTTTCCATCTCACTGACACCAGGCCAGCTCAGTCCCATTATCTCTAATCTAAAATGGTTCTAACAGTCTCCCTGATTCCGTACTTACCCCACTCCAATCCACTGTCTCTACAACAATCAGAATAGCCTTCAAATAATAAATTCATCCCACTCCTCTGCTTTTAAAGTCTTCAGTGCCATCTTATTATACTTAGAATAAAATATGAAGTCTTGCCGTCACCTTAAGGTCCTACTTGACCTGTGCCCTGCTTACTTCTACAACTCTGTTTCCTGCTACGGGCTCACTGCGTTCCAGGCATATGACCTTCTTCCAGTTGATTGATTGTGCCAGCTTATTTTGTCCTACCACAGGGCCTTTACACATGCTGTTCCCTCTCCCTAGAAGGTTTCTTCTTTTTTTTTTAAGGCTGGCTACCCTGCGTAATGGTCACATACTCAGAAAGGCTTCTCTGATCACCCCTATATTTAAAAGTATATAACCTCCTCATCCCTATATTTTAAGATTCCCAGCATCCAGTTCATTTTTTCCACAAAGCATTCACAATTTGTAATGATTTATTTTTTCATTATCTGTCTCCCCACTAGAATTTAAGTCCATGAGGGAAGGTACTCTGTCTTTGTTTACAGCTGTCAGACAACATCTGTCAGACAACATCTGTCAGACAATATCTGCCAACATTAGCACACACTACATGCTCAAGAACTATATCTTGAATGGAACAAAGGAACAAATGTAGAATTTCACCCAGTTCACGTGGGCACAATGCAAAGACAGTGAGACATCTGTAGACATCCCAGTGTTTGACCTACTTGCTATCACATAGTTAAAAAATTTTAAATGTATATGTCTTGGTGTCATTAATGCTATTGTAGAATACAGAGTTTTGAAAGACAGTGATTTTCAAATTGTTACATATTAACTGTGCACATCTTGTTTTGGGCCAGAGGGTAAATGCTGGTGTCTCAGTGACATTAAGTGACAGGTTTATGTTGATCACATTCCTCAGGCTCCTCAGGGTCAGGTTTCACTTTATTGTTCCACCCTTACACTCTCCTTTTTCTTTTTTTAAAATGTTTTTTAATTAGTAAACTTTATTTTTAAGAGTAGTTCTAGGTTCATAGCAGAATTGTGGGAAAAGTACAGAGAGTTCCCATATACCCCTGCCTCCACACATGCATAACCTCCTCCACTATCAACATCCCACACTAGAGTGGTACATTTGTTACAATGATGAATCTACAATGACGCATCATTCTCACCCAGAGTCATGTTGTACCTTCTATGGGTTTTGACAAATGTGTAATGACATGTATCCACCATTATATCCACTCTCTGTTTTCTAAGATCCAATTTCTAACGGCTCCTTTCCAGCAGAGCCAATGGAGACTATCAAGTAGGAATGTCCTCCAATGTATGCCTCCAGCCCCACTGGAAAATCCTGTGCAGAACAGGGAAGTTCAAGGAAGGCAAGACTTTCCTCCTGACTCGGCCTACTTCTTGTGCCAATATTCCGGATCTCTCTCCTTCCCTCTACTCCAGCCCCTCATTCTATCAGTTAGGTCTTTTCCTTCCCATATATATCACTGGGTTCAACATCTCAGCATGGAAAACATATTAAAATCTTTCCCATCCTAAAAAAACAAAAAAAATCCAATAAACTTGTAAAAACACTCCCTCAACTCTATGCTGCCTTCTCCTGGCTAAAACCTGTCCTCCTTTTCAACTCAAAGCACTTAGGAAGAGCAAACTGCAATTCCTCTCCTCTGGCCTCCACATTATGTGGGGAAAGGCCCATTGAGTAACTCCATGGGAGGTTCCCAGTGCCCCAGACACAGTGCACCTAATAGCAAATTCATAATCACGTCACCCCTGTCACTAATCTTCTCCCCTCTCGGCCTTCTTTATTTTGATAGCTGACACCACCCTCTGCCCTTTCAGGTGAGCTAGAGAAACTGCCCTCCATCCTTCATTTCTCTTCATCTCACTTTCTCCACTAGCCCCCCGCCCCCACCATGTGAAATCTTCCAATCTGGTCTATTTGCCTCTTAACTCTCTCTCCAAGCTGCTCCCTCTTTCTATCATCTCTGCTTCAGCCACTGTCTAGACTTACCATGTCTCCCCAGCCTCTGCAATACTCCCTCGACCATCAGAGTCACCATGCTAAGATACGAGGCTGGTCACATCCATCCTTTATTTAAAATTCCTCTCCAGCCCACTGCCTGGTGATCGAGTCCAGCCTCCTTGCCATGGCCTACAAGGTCCTTTCTCATCTGGCCCCTGCCTCTCTGACGTGGCCCATCCCCTGTACCACTCCCCGCTTACCGCCCTCCAGCGGTGCTGTGCTCATTGCCCCTGGCTGTCCCTTCCACCTGAAACCGCCACTCCTCAACCCAGCCTGAATTCAGGCTTCACCACTTCTGTAGAGCTTTCCAGCCCCCCACCCTCCTCTTCCTGAGCCGGATGGTCCCTCCTGCTCTTTCTTTGGGCTCCCACAACACCCATTCAATTTTACTGTAACAGAACTTCTCAGCCCATGCAGAAACTATGCACTAGTTTGTCTCCCCCACCAGACTCTGAGCTCCCTGGCCGAGGGGACAGTGGACCTTCAGTTCTGATCCCCAAATGCCCAGCACGATGTCTGACATAAAGGAGGATTTCAATATACCCAGGTTGAGTAAATGAAAGTTTTTGATGTCACTATTCCATCTTTCAAGATGCGAGGCCTCAAGTACTCAATCCCTCAAGGTTTCTATTTCCCAAAGTCCTCTGCCCTTCTCTTAACTTTAACAATTTAATTATTATACTCTGTAGTGTTGGTTTGGCGGTCAAGGTCCACGGGATAATAATCCAGATGTTTATAATTACAACATCCCTTGTAAATGGTGCCTTCTGGGTAGGAGCCATGCCACCAAACTCACGTTTCCCTAAATTGGATCCATTGATCTATGTCAATGGATCTATCATGGTAGGTGATTAAAAGGTGACCAGAGGACCACAGGTTTATCCTACATCGATCCTCTGATGATTGTGATTCAATGTTTTAAATGTGTGATAATGTAAGCAATGATCTCAGGCTTCCAAATCTTGCTGAGAAGGAATGGATTTGGAAGGCTTAGCCAATTAAATGAGGTAACACATTGGCAGCTCCTCAGCGCTTCTCTCCATTTAGTTTGGCTCAGAGCTGATTCCTGGCCTTGGCCTTGTAGCAGGTTAGGGGATACAGAGTGCCCTACATTTACCTCTTTAATGTGTAGAAAGTCCTTGGCGTCAAAGGAGATGGCCGTGCTTGGAACAGGCACATCCTCATCCAAGGCACCACAGTAGCTCACATTCGTCTTCACAGCAAATGCTACAGGTTTCGACTGGGAACAGAACCATGGAATAAGGATGGAGGGAGGAAGACAGAAGAGGATTTTTCACACTGAAATGTAGAACCAGATAATGGATAGTACCAGGCAGTAAGGGAAATCACTTTCCAAAGAGGGATCTCAACTGGGTTCCACATTTCCAGGCAGCAGTGAGAAATCTGCAGAAAGGGCTCTGAAGAGGATTCAGTCCTATCAGCCCGACCATGTTCCCCCTCCTGTCGTACTTTCCAACATCCCAAAGAATCGTGCCCTAAAATTTGGGGGGAAGGGATGGAAAGGCGGGAGGGGCAGTCTGTTTTGGCCTCTAGTCATAAAACTCATGTTTATTATTTTAAATGGTAACACACGCCTCCACCTTGGCATACAGGAAATGTGTGCTGGGTCTTAAATAAAAAGGTGGTGGAGGGTTAAAATAAATATTTTTGAAATAGCCTTAGGCCTGAAAACCTGCAGGATCCCACTCAATAGAATACCTTGTCCTGCCAGGGAAAAGAAAGCCCCGTCCCAGTAGACAGGAAGGGCGGAGCTGCTCACTCATCACCTTCTCCCTAGCTAACAAAAGCTGCTTCTGAAACTTTTCTTAGACAGATTCCTCCGCAGCAAAGTGCTCTCGGGCTGGTGCAGCTTGGCAGAGGTTAAGTAAGCCACCAGCCTAAGCTAACAGCACTGTTGCTGACATTTGGGTGACCACAATAGCCACAAAATAAACTCTGAGAGAAACCTAAAACAAAATTTAGCCACAAATAAGAACATCAGTTTCCAGCAATCCCGGGCTGCTCTGTTATGGGCTCATTTATTCGTGCTGGGACCATGCCTGGGAGCAACAGCACTGAGGCAGGATCCGAGTTAGAGTCTCACTGATGTCCTTTCCCAGGTGCTGCTCCAACCCCCTTCCGCCAACCAGCACAGGTAGCACGGGTGTGGAAGCAAAGGAAGACACCTGGTGAACCTGCCTCATCCTCCTCTTCCCGCTCTTTTAAACATTTTACTGTAAAAACAGAAAAGGGGGGCTTCCCTGGTGGCGCAGTGGTTGAGAGTCCGCCTGCCGATGCAGGGGACACGGGTTCATGCCCCTGTCCGGGAAGATTCCACATGCCGCGGAGCGGTTGGGCCCGTGAGCCATGGCCGCTGGGCCTGCGCGTCCGGAGCCTGTGCTCCGCAACGGGAGAGGCCACAACAGTGAGAGGTCCACATACCGCAAAAAAATAAAAATAAAAATTTAAAAAAAGTAAGTTAATTAATTAAATAAAAATAGAAAACGGAAGGAGTTCACTTTATCTGAGCTTTTTTTTTTTTTCTCCTAAAAATTAGAAAGACTAGATCAATATGCTTTAGGAGTCTATCGTGAAGGGCAAAGGAGGAGAGGCTGACCAGGAACATGTTATATCTGTTACTGTGCATAAAATTTCATTTGACAAAAGGGGTCTGTGCTTAAAAAAAAAAAAAAAAGTCTGAAAGACATAGCATGGGAGATCTCTAGTGACTCAGTTCTAACATTCAAAAATGCAATTTGTTCTTTGTTGCCTCCTATGGGGCAGGGATTCCTATGGGGGCCCCTCCCTGTGGAATATCTGAAGGTCTCTTGCGGCAAAGCCTTTCATTGCTCATCTTTGCTGAAATGCTAATCGTTGTTCAAAGCTCTGAACGGTGAACTTGAGGTGGGAGATTGACACCAAGAGGGAAGAACAGAGACACCAACAGGGAGACCCACTGACCAGTTATGCACGTGTGGCCTGCAATGAAGGCTGCTGTCTTGGAGAACGGGGCAAGCACGCTGGTTCCTTGGGAGGCCCTCTAACGACAGTGGGAGGGGCAAGCTGGATATGGGGCACAATCGCTAAGTTAGAAGATGACCAAGAATTTTCACCAGCAAACCAAACACAAAAGGTAGGTGAAGGGGTCCGTGTCTCGGGATATGGCTCCCTGAGAATGTTACTATCAGGGGTGAACAGATCATGGAGCCTTGCAATCTGGTGCCTTATCAGAATGATCATAAAATGATTACTCCAGAGAAATCTGAGGCAGGGGAAGAGCAGCTGATACCTGCTGAGCAACATGCCACTTTGGAACCCAAGAGGGGCAAGAACGTCACCTTTGCTCTCTCAAGCTGGATGGCCGCCTGCTGCTCTCTCTCTTGCCGAATTGCTTCCCGATCCTCTTCCAGAGAGACATCGGAGTCAGACGGCCTGCTCGTGTAGGAATCCGCTGAACCCTGGAAAGGAAAACCCAGAGTAGCTTGAATGAGGTGATGTGGAGCTTCTTAAATCATCACATCTAACAGCATCCTGGAGTGGGTTCTTCTCATTTGCATAGAATTTGATAAATACGCTCTATGCCTTATTGCAGACATAAATTTAGATGGCAGAATATAGTTAAGCATCTGAGTAATTCGGAAGGTAGCAATGTTAGGAAGGGAAATATTTTGACTAGATTAAGTGCTAGAAAGTAAACTGCAATGAAAATTATGTGATGTTCAGCCCCAATTCTTCTTGTTTTGTGCTATCTTTATATTAAGCCCATATCAACTTGCGGAACTGAAATTTCTTTCCATTCTCTGTTTTATATACAGATTTTTAAAGGAGTAAGAGATTTAGCCTATTACAAGAGTAACTCCTACCCATATCTTGGATTACAGATGATCAAGTTAAGATTTCAACACAGCAAATCAGAAACCTGAATTAGTAAAATGATTTTCAGTTCCATTGTCAATGCCATTGAACAAGGATGTCCTCAACTGAAGCCCATTCCTAGAAGGACTATTTGAACAACAATGAAATCCAGCCTGACTCATGTGGCCAAGGAATTTCGGGCAGTGGACATCACTTGGTGCTCATGCCATAAGAAGAGATGAAAACCACAGCAGCTGAAAAGTTAAAAACAAAAACAAACACCCCAGAAACTTGCTTTCTGCTTGCTAAAAGAACATCACCCTTACAATTTCCTTAAGCTGGCATTAGAAGTTGATATTTGTGTAGATGATATTTCCACAGCAGACGTATTGATAAGACTGGTGTATTTGGCATGTTTCATAAACCAGGTACAGATTCTAAAAGGCATATGCTTATCCATATAGCTGAGAATTTGCTACCCACTGCAAAAAAATAACTCTAAGAATGGCTGACTGCTGAAACGGGCACTTTGAAAGTTTCTTCTAAACTTAGAAATATTAGGGTTTGTTTGTTTATACATTATTTGTGAATTTGCTGCCTGTATGGGTAGCTTTGTCTCAGTAGAGGGTATCATTTTAGCTGGGGTAGTCTTTCCCACCATAAAAAAAATCCCAGCACAGATTTTCCTGGCAGCCTAGAACAATAATTCCTGGTTAGAGTTTTATCAGAATGCCCAGTAGAACCCTGGTTCTAAATTCTAACTCTGCAACACACTTTTGAAGACTTTATACAAGTTCCTAGACCACTCTAAGACTCAGTCTCCTCTTCTGTAAAATGGGGATGTGGTTTACTTCACAGAATTAAATGGAATAGGATATAATGAATCCCTGATTATTGAGCCCTGGCTGTCACACCAGCGTGGGGCTAGATGCTTTGCACACCTTATCTCACTGAATCCTTAGAGCAGTGGGTAAGCTGGGATTCAAACACGGGTAATCCAACCGTAGAGCCAGCAGTTTCAAACCCTACATTGAGCTGGACTTGAAAAAATATTTACTCTAGGACCTGGCACATAGTAGGCACACAATAAATAGCCATTCGCATTTCTATTTCCTAGTGCTGGTATTTCTACCTTGATTTAAAAAAAAAAAAGAGTTAAGAGATTCTAATCATTTTTCAGCTTACTTACATATGCAAGTAAGTTGCCCATCTTGAACTGTACAGTATCCTTTTTTATTGTATTTGCTGCATAGAAAACACGATAAGTTTTTTTCCCCAGCTTTATTGAGATATAATTGACATATAACACTGTGCAAGTTTAAGGTGTACAATGTGTTGATTTGATACATTTATATATTGCAAAATGATTATACTGTAAGTTTCATAACTGCAGTGTGTCCAAATCCATGCACTTTATGCAGTGCTTTTGAAAGTGCCCTTTACAGAGGAAATGTATTTGCTAACCAAATTATAACCAAACTCATCTGTGCAAATCTACTGGGGAAAAATCTGGACCTACAAAATAAATAAGTACAGGGTGACTATTTTATAGATGCATTCATTGCTTAAAAAAGAGCTACCCTGGGCTTCCCTGGTGGTGCAGTGGTTGAGAGTCCGCCTGCCGATGCAGGGGACACGGGTTCATGCCCCGGTCTGGGAAGATCCCACATGCCGCGGAGCAGCTGGGCCCGTGAGCCATGGCTGCTGAGCCTGCACGTCCAGAGCCTGTGCTCCGCAACGGGAGAGGCCACGACAGTGAGAGGCCCGCGTACCGCAAAAAAAAAAAAAAGAGCTACCTTGAAGTCCTTTAAAACAAGAGAGTTCTATCAGCATAAATCTTTTGTCCAAATTTAGGTATATCTGCATAAAATCCAGAGGAAGAGAGAAAGGAAACAATGTTTCTAAAAAATATATGAAAACGGTTTTGTGTTAGTTCTAGGCAATGCTTTGCTGAAGTGTGATGTGTGTGTGGTAGACCATTTTAAGGTGTTAGATGTCTGCAAAAGTGTCTGGACTATAAAGTGATTACGATGCAGGAAGTCAGGAAGGAGGCACTTGTTTTGAAAACACGTGCTGGGGAAGGCTAACAACTGCAGTTCAAAAGAAAGCAGGCTGCCCAGTGGAGCAGTGAGTCAAACAGCTAAAATACACAATCCACTGTTGACACTAGGAGATGGCTAATTTCCTGAAAACTCCGTTAACGATTTTTCAAATCCTGGCATTCAATCCTCTGCGCACACAAGGAGTGACTCAAGGGCTCCTGCAAATAAACTTTATTTTTAAATGTGAACAAGACTGTTAAGAATTTCAAAATTACTTAATAAGTTCTACTATTGCCAAGTATGTAAAAGCACACAATATTCTAAGAATATTGGTAGAGGGAAAAATAAAGCACTGTGATATTTATTTTTATAATTACAGTGTGAGATTCACAGTATTTACTCTGTTTTTTTTTTTTCTTTCAATGACATCTACATTTCTCTGAATATGGAAATCATTGCTGCTGTCTCTCAAGGTCCTAGGGATAGCAGAGATCCAACATCAAGAGCCCAAATTTGGCCCATGGACATGTTCTGCTGGCTTGGCACAGAACTGGTTTCTTGTTTCTATTGATTTTTATTTGATTTGTTTCAACTGGTTGATAGAGAGTACAGACAGGAGAAAGAAAGGAAAAGAAAAAGAACCTAGGTTGTTTACAAAGACACAGAGAGCAGAAGAAGAGAGCCACAGAGAGGCAAGAGGAGACTGCCTGGGCCGGACTAGAGGGAGGATGGGGAAGGGAAGTGGGGCTGCAGCAGGCTTAGTAGGACTGGAGGGTCGGGGGGGACTGCCCAGAGGTCTGGTTAAACCTTTATGATCAGGAAGAGGGAAACTGCAAGAAGGGAATAATGCTAGATGCTAAGAGGACAGAACTAAAGATATAAAGGTTACTACCTCTGGCCAAAGGTAAAAACTGCAGCCCCATCAGCTTTTTGTTTTCCAAAATTCCACTTCATAAAATGGGCAAAGAGCAAGGCACCCAACTCATCAAGTGAGCCAAACCTGGGCTGTTAATCTACGTGTAAGATGCACGACAGAGGCTAGTCCCTCAAAAGTTCCTAAGCAGAAACCATTGCAAGTCACATCTTTGAGTCTCCAAAGAAACAACTAAATTGGGGGGAAAAAATGGAAACAATTGCTGCAAGTCTTTTTTTTTTTTTTGCGGTACACGGGCCTCTCACTGTTGTGGCCTCTCCCGTTGCGGTGCACAGGCTCCGGACGCGCAGGCTCAGCGGCCATGGCTCACGGGCCCAGCCGCTCCGCGGCATGTGGGATCTTCCCGGACCGGGGCACGAACCCGCATCCACTGCATCGGCAGGTGGACTCTCAACTACTGCGCCACCAGGGGAGCCCGCTGCAAGTCTTTATAAATATATATATATATAACATTACATATGTATGTATAAAATAATGCATCCTAGTGAATATCAAAAGAAACACATACATGTCTTTCTATTAACATGAGGCCCAGATTTTTTTCCCCCTTTTACTCAATATTGAAAACAGATTCCAGCCTCACACCTTTCATAAATCTTCTTGAGTATAAAATACAAACGTTATAGAAACATTGAAAAATCAGTTAGTTTACTGTTGTCCTAGAAGAAGGAAAGTGATCTCAAGTCAAACAATGGAAAAGTTTCTTTTCCTGCCCGGAGAGAGAAGCCATGACATGAATGGGAGAGTGGCCGTGGACTTTGGGGTCAGGAAGTATTGGGTTTGACACTGCTGCTAGTTCTTACTGGCTGTGTGTCTTGGGCAACTTATTTTAACTTTCTGAGTCTCAATTTCCTCCCCCTTTGAAATAGAGATAATAACACATACCTCACAGAGTTTCCCAGTGTTTGATTTGAGATGGAACATCATTTCGTTTACCATCATGAGGAAAATTGAGGAACTGCCAGCAAATAATATTTGACTCACTCATTACAGTTTTGGGCAGCTTTTCAGCATTCAATTTTTGGCTGCCCTAGAGTCTTAGGATTTACATCTTGTTCTTTTTTTTAAAACAGCTTTACTGAGGTATAATTTACATACCATAAAATTCACATAATTTAAATTATGATTCAATAAATTTTTAATAAATTTACAGGATACAATTCACACAACAATCTAATATTAGAATACTTCTACCATTTCAGGAAAAAAAAACCAAAAAACCCTTTTGCCTATTTGCAGCCACTCTCCAAACATACCACGAGATCCAGGGATCCACTTACTTATCTTGTCCTTCTAAAACTAAAATATACTTCCTCTTCTTATGAGTAGTTTTAGTATTTAGATATGTCATTAAATTACAGCAAGGAGAAGGGAGAGTTTATGAATGTTTGATTTTTAAATGCATTAATACTGGAACAGAACGTGGTTATTGTTGGAACTTTTGGGCTTTGTGGTCAGTCCTGTGCCTCTCACTTCCTACCTAGCTTAGCTGTCCATTCACTGGACACTGACCATCTGTCAGTGGCAACAATGTGAGAGGAGAGCTGCTTAACTTTTCTGAGATTCTATCCTCATCGGCAAAATAGGAATGAACCCTTCAGGGTTATTTTGGAGAATTACTAAGATG